TTATATTAGAAAGAAGGTAACTTTCCCAAGTAGTCAGAGCCTGGGAGCTGGGGTAAGAACCTCTCCTTTCCAGCCTCAACTTTGTGACTACTACAGTAGCACGCACACGCACACACCTTCCCTCCTAGACCCAGTTCAGCAGCTGCCAGGGCATGGGTGGGAGAGAGACACCGACCCTTCCCAGCCCCAATTTGGTAACTTTATATTAGAAAGAAGGTAACTTTCCCAAGTAGTCAGAGCCTGGGAGCTGGGGTAAGAACCTCTCCTTTCCAGCCTCAACTTTGTGACTACTACAGTAGCACGCACACGCACACACCTTCCCTCCTAGACCCAGTTCAGCAGCTGCCAGGGCATGGGTGGGAGAGAGACACCGACCCTTCCCAGCCCCAATTTGGTAACTCTGTGGAAGGAGAGAGCTCTCTTCTCAAACCACTGTTAAAACTTGATGGCAATGTCTTGTTCATACAAGGTTTGGGGGGGGAGGGGAGGGTTTAATAGTACTTTTATCCAAAGTATTTTATAATGGTTAGTTCATGATAAACATTTGGAAATAAAGATCTGTAAGTGGCATGCTGAGGTCCTCAGCAATTTTCAAGTGATGCAGGAAGAAGTTTGAGAACCACTGGTCTAAACAAATGACTAGATTATGGAACCTGTATGTAGTATTTGTAATTATTTCTGAAGCCCAGCAAAAGCTTCAGAGCCCAGTAGACAGAAGCTGGTTCTCACCGAATCCCCTTTTCATCTTCCAGAAAAAAAAATTAAGCTTCTTGAAGAATTTCTGACAGAACATTAAGGCTACATGATTAAACATTTAAGACCAGGAAATCCTATAAAACACAACCTTAGTTTGATCCTTTTGTGTGTTTAATTGTACAGATTCATTTACATCATACATTATTTTTCATATATAAATGTTTCCCTTCCTACCTTCAGCATATCACATGCAGTTATGGATAAGCTAGACAGAGAGAGCTGAACAAAGTCATATGACAAGACTACAACACATACTTGCATAATCTACAGCACAGTATTCATAACCATATAGAAACATTGATTGATTACATTCATCAATTTAATTAGCTTCAGTGTCCCCTGAATTGCTTCTAAGGAAGGGAGGCTAACAAAAGTTAGTATATTGGACTGACCAAAATACTAAGTACACCTCAGAGTACTGTACACACAATTTATATAAAATCTAGTTTATATTTCAGTTAATATTGTCAGAGGCCCAAATTAAAAAGAGATATAGCATATCTCTAGCTGTTGAAAAGCCAGTGTTTTACTTGTAAAAAAAAAAAAAAAATCAGTAACACTGGCTGAGAAAGAAGTCCTGTCCATGCCTCCCTTTAATAAAGATGGCAGTTGTAAAAGAAAGTCTTAGTTTTATTAAGTAGTACCAAAAATACTAGTCTACTCTGCTACAAAGGGCAGAGTATCATTTTTAGTTTAAAGATTTCAAAGTCAAGCCACCACTGAACTCTGTTTTTCAATTGATCAGTCCACTATACACATTCTGTAAAAGCAACCGAGCATGAAAGCTACTAAAGCCTGTTTCACTGTAATAATCCACTAATGCCTTAATTTTCAGTATTTTGTAAAATCTTGTTCAATGCACAAAATGCCCATTCTCCTTTTAAATCTGGTGACAATCCCATGCAATAGAACTTTCATCCATTACTCACTCACTTGGCTAGGTGTGCCTTTATTTAAGTGCAGTGCCGGTGCAGATTCTCCCAAGAGAGATTTAAGTGGTTTCACCTCAGGTGTGCTGCTTGTACTACTAGCAGAGGACCCAGATATAGATGCATGGACCGATGCCACAACTTTAGCTTGTTCTGGAGGAACATACCTAAGTCGAATAAGCAAAATATTTAACTAAGTGTTGTTCCAATATGGAACAAGAGTTATTGCTGTGAGGTCTGAGATTTGCTGTTAGTTAGGCCCTGGACCAATGTCAAACTGCACTACTGGTCTGATAGTCCAGTCACCATTTTAGTGTCCCACATCTCAAACCATTTGGGTTTCAAAAGCTTGATGCTTCAATTTTCCAGTGTTTTATAGCAGTTTTCTATCTGTGGTCTGCAAAAAGTGACTATAAACAAAAAAGCCTTTCAGATCCCAGAAAAGGCCCTCACTTTTCATTCATCAGAAAAACAGAATGCCCTCTCCCCCGCTTACAGGTCAAAATCTGGAAATGCCACCACCACCACAGAAACAGTTAAGTGTCCTCTAATGCTTCATCAAATACTGTGCCAAGCATGTGTCTAAGACTTCTATGCTAGGAGTCTGTAGAGCATAGGCTGGATTTCCAAAAAGGGGCTGCACCTTCATTTGAAAAAAATGTTAGAGGTCCACAAATGAAGAAAAAAAAAAAAACACTTCTAGCAGAATTAGGGTATTGAAGTCACATCCACGTCAACTCAAGAGTGATGTTAAGAGTCCCTTTCTCAACCAACTGCCATGGTCTGAACCATTGCTGCATACCGTATTAAGAACATAAGAACAGCCATACTGGGTCAGACCAAAAGTCTATCTAGCTCAGTATCCTGTCTGCTGACAGTGACCAATACCAGATGCCCCAGAGGGAGGGAACACAATAGGTAATATTGAAGTTTGGCATATGAGCTTTTAAATGAGGAGCAGGGAACCTTTTTTGGGTTGGGGGTTGCTGACTCCGGGGGAGTCAGGAGCCGCATAAAAGTGAAAAAACCCTCACTGACATGGCCCCGACTGGAAAGACAATCCACACATTTCCCCCTCCCCTCCCCCCACACCAGAGCCTAAGAGGCTAGACTAGTAAATTGTGTGCTCCAGCCACCACCAGCATGGGCTCCCCAATGCTGAAGAGCCCTGAGCCTCGGGGCCAGATCCAGACATGCCAAGGGCTGCATCCCTGTTTTTAATTATGTGGGCTGGAGTAGAGAGAGAATACAAGATGCTGTCAACATTTCCTTAAAATGCAATTTGAATTAATATTTATTAAATACTCACTTACAGATTATCAGTATTTTTACAAACCCCAGGTAAATACAGCTACTTTCACTGTACTTCCATCCCAGTAAGGGACTACTCAGTAAGTCCTATACTACTGCTGATGTCACCATATGAAACTAGAGTTTCCTTGTTCAAGATGAAATATTGACTGCCCAATTCAATGGAAAACATACAGAACTTCAATCGCCTGATAGAGCTCATTTAAATGGAGAAGTTAATACAGGTTGGACCTTTCTGACCGGTCCCGCACGAAGGTATTTGCCAGACCAGAGGAAGTTCCCTGGTACTGGCTCCCCAGACCCTTATTCCTCCCCATTGTCGGACACAGCCACCCCTCCTCCCACCATGCTGCCATGCTGTTGCGGCCCTGCTACATCACCAGCCCCACTACTAGGGCTCCAGTGCCAGTTCCAGGCCTGTCCACCAGGGCTCTGAGCCACCATCCCTTTTGCCACCAGGACTCCCAGCCAGGAATCCCAGGTCTATGTACACTTAAGGTCCTGCTGGACCACAAATGTTGCCAGATGACAGAGTTCCAGTTTTGGGAGGTCCAACCTGTAGTTCCTACAGCCTATTCAGGGTATAATGCAACAAATCTAATACAGCTTGACAAGGTCTGCCACATATATAAAAAGGAAAAAAAACAAAACAAAAAAACAACAGACAAGGGCTGTTAGAGCATGAACAGAACCCAATAGCATCTCTTCTGCCATACCTAAAAGCCACTCTGATGGAAACAGCAAAAGCTGCCCTTTTTAACAGAGGGCAACTTCTTCACCTTCAGAGGGAAAGTATCTTGTATAGCCTCAGCAGCTGCTTAGGCAGTTTGGATCCAAGTACAGACCTTTATGAAGAAGCCCAGGGGAAACTAATTGTGAACATGGGATACATTTATATGGTTATATTTTGTACATGCCCTGGGATGTATTATTTGTCAACTCAATCTGCTGATTATTATCCTGTTGAAATGTCTATAACATGGCTTGGGAAATTATGACATTTTACTGTATGAGAGCGTCTCTCTATCAAAACTAATGGGAAGTGTTGGCTTACCATCTTTTCTTTTCATATTTTTCCTGTAGAAACTCTTTTACTTTCTGTGGATCTCTGAAGTCTGGAATTGCTGATGATCTATCATCAAATAATCCTAGCCAAATCTGTTTACACACCTAATTTGGAGGGAGTAAGGGGGGGGGGGGAAGAAGAGAGAAAAATCAGTATTCTAACAAAATTAAATGTATATTTTCATTCTCAATTTACAATCTTAGATACAATCCATTAACAACTTTTGAATAACCACTTTTACCATATTTATTTGCACAGAACTTGGCTTACACAAATACTTCAGTGAAGTGAGAGTGTACAGTTCATTGTTTAAGATATTGCAAGGCCATCTGTCACAGCAGGAGAAACAAACCTTGGTATCTTATTTCATAGACATATACAGGAAGTACTTGATTTTGAAAGTACTCCCAATGGTGTAACACAGTAACTGCCATTTTGGTCTTTGGAAATCCTTCTCCCCAAGATCTACACGTTCAAGCCACAGACTCTTTTCTGCTTCTCTGTTCCAAACTTTACAGGTCACTGTAAGCTGAAGACTCCAGCTTATTAATTATGTTTGTATGAATTAGTTTAAGAATCCTTCTGAGCTTTTAAAATTTCCCAATATACAGTGTTTTGTTTTCAGCTGTACAGAGCAAATTCCTGTCTAATGCATGAGGTGCTTATAAAGCAGCATGGTTAACTAGAAAATTAACACACTATATTTAACAACAAGGAGTTCACAGGTGAACAGAAGCGTCTCAAATTGGTCCTGTCCCTTCAATGGGTAAATTAATTAAGCCAAAGAGAAAATGAGGTTGCCCTCAGCCTTTATTGGCAGTAGCTCTTCTTTATGATTCAGCAAAAACAAAATCGCCCTCGGCTTTTTTTGGCAGTAGCTCTTCTTTATGATTCAGCAAAAACAAAATTCTCTCATGAAAAACTTAGCATTAGTTGCTCAGCACTCAGCTATATGAGTAGAAAGCAACTCAAGAAGCGGGGAGGGCATGCACACAGGGTTATAAGTCATCTTGCTTAAAGGACTGTTTTATTTAAAAACTACACAATTCCTCAAGCAGGATTAGAGCGTATTGTGCCAACAATTTAAGAGTTTGCCACTAACAAAGACCAAATTCATACCTCAAAGTTTCTAAGCATATTCAAAAAGTGAAACATACACAAGTTAACAGAAATATGCATTTCCACTGCCATATTTTAAATATTTTCCAAGTCTCATAGTCAGAAACTGAACACAATGCAATGAGAGATTTATCCTAGGACAGCATTCTATTTTAATCAAAGTTGAAAAAATTATCAGACTTAGTGCTTTGCCTCTAACCACTCATTTCCCCACTGAGACATTTAGGTATAGTAACTTGCCTCCTCAAAAAATTTCTTCGCACACCTGAGAATGATACAGTTCTCACTTGGTTCATTACTGAAGTAAAGCCAATCAACTGAAAGGTGGCAACTCTGATAATAGTATAACAAATGGAGAACTTACTCAACAAACTGCTTAGGAAATGGTGGGGGAAAAAAAGCTGTAATTTAGCAAGAAAAGGAGTCAATATTCTTACAAAAAAGTGTGACTAGTATCTTTAATGGCCACATATCTCTTTTGGAACGGTATATGAGAGCACAATGCACTGGCTTAGATTCAGAGTGAAGTGTTTTTCTGAATCCTAAACACTGCTTCCTGTAACATAGCCAAGTGTCAGTTTGGAAGTACGATGGAATATTAATTTGGCTTTAAATACATTCATCTGTGGTGGACTGGTTCAGGTCAGTGATGTCCAACCTTTTCAGCCTGAGACTGTAAAACATTTCAGGAAGATGGAGGGAACACCATAAGCATTTCAGAACTGAGTCTCTGCTCTGTGAAACACTCAGGTTGTTCAAAGAAAACAGAAACCATCACAGAAATCTCAAGGATTATCTTAACATGGAGTTCCCAAAAGGTACAAAGCAAGCAGAGGCCAGGTCTACAACTTTAGGCAAGCCTACAACTACCCACCAGATCGTACTGATCAATCCAGCAGGGGTCAATTAATCAGTTCTGGCATAAGAAATAAACTGATTGTAGTGTGCCCACATCAACTCTGGTATTCCACCAGAAGGAGACTTGTAGGTAGAGTTGACGAGATCATCAGACATCAATTCACTGCAGTGAAGACACCACAGTAAGTAAATATAAGCAAGTCAAATTCAGCTATGTTATTCACTAGGGATGTCAACATGTAGTCAACTATATGATTAACTGATAAGCCTAGGCTTATCGACTACACACATTTCTCCCCGTCCTCCGCCCCCACTTGCTGCCTCTGAATCAGTGGTGCTGATTTATTATTTTTATCATGGTAGTACTCAGATGTCCCAGTGAAGAATGTGCTGTTGATGCTGATCTCTAAAGTCTTGTCTACACTTACAAGTTATGTTGTCAAAAAACGCTTTTTGGCTACAAAATCCAGACACACTGCTACAAAAATCTAGTTCACATTGCAAAGCATCAAAAATTGTGACAAACATGCAGTGTTAGTGACACAAAAATTCCACTTCCACAAGAGACTTTTCTCTCCGCCTCCCTTTATTGTTGACAATCATATAGTACAGGGCTATTCAACACGCGGCCCGCAGCCTGTTTGTTTGCAGCCCATGGTGCAGTCTGGGTTTATGCAGGGCTTAACATGCAGGTGGGATCTTTTGAACACGTCCTCCACTGAGAACACACATCATAATGGCAAATCAATATAATGGTCTTCTGTTGATATGCATTTTAGTAGTTCAATTCCTGGACTGTCGTTGCTCATTAAACATGCTGTAATATGGGTGTAAATAGGGTAAATATTGCATTTTATTAATATCAGCAGAACTGACTTAAATGGGGCCTGCGTGTTGTGTAGTCTTGTCTTAGTATTCACTTCTGTCAGCGTCAAAGAAACTAATTGCATATATTTTTGCATGTTCATGCAACCACAGTTCAGTTGCGGCCCTTGGCATGTGCTGTGAGTATCATTAAGGCCCCCAGAGCCTCCAAAGTTGAGTAGCCCTGCTGTAGTGTGTACTTCAGTAGGTTTTTTGCCAAGTTTATTGACCTCCAGCATGTTTACTGACCTCCAGCCGTTCTGGTCAGTGCTTTGAACTCTGCTGCTCTGCAGCCACATAAACAGATGTGCCCCTTCCACTTGCCAACCACAGGAATTTTAACAATTCTTTCCCAACAATTCTGGTGCATTGTGCAGTGAACTCCTCATAGTGTCTTCTTATGAAAAGAAGGGTTGCTATTGCTCAAAATGCTCTCCCGCTTAAGATCCAAGAGTGCTGCATTGCTCCAGTGCAGCGTTCCCCAACTTTTTTTGGCTAAGGAACCCCTTTAGAATTTCAAGGAACCCCAGCCAGAAAAATTGGTCAAGAGCGATAACTGTCTCTAACAGGGGCGTTCCAAGTTCTCACGGAACCCTTACTTTCGCTTCACGGAACCCTGGGGTTCCACAGAGTACTATTTGGGAAACACTGCTCCAGTGTATGGAGTAAAGAATCTTCAATATGTGATGTCTCAAGTACATTTAACACAACATGGGAAGGCAGGGTTGTAAGCGACTAGTCGACTACCCATTAAGCATATGGCTATCAGGTAGTGAGTAATGACTCAACTAGTCGCTTCTCCCCCTTTTCCCCTCCTTTGCTGCCTCTATCAGAAAGGCAACAATGGCTGTGGGGCAGGGGAGAAGACCAGGAGTCGGTGCTGGGGGAAGCCAGTTTAAAAGCTGGTTTCCCCCCTAGCACTATCTCCATGGGTGGGGAGCAGGAAGGCAGAGGCGCAGCCGGCTCACATCCGGTTGCTCCGCAGCTGATTCCCGGCACACACCCAGTAACCCCCCGGCTGCACCTCTGCCTTTTAAATATATTAAGAGCCTGGCGACTCTTAATACATTTAAAATGCAGAGCCACAGCAGGGTTAACTCCCAGGGCCAGGAGCTAACCTCCTGGTGGCTCTGCAGTTTCCCTCCTTAACAAATCAAATAGTCAATGGAAATTCCATTTGACTACTCAATTAACTGATCAAATACAATTTAACATTCCTATGGGAGAGACCTGAAAGATCCATGATTTCTCAGCAGATATTGGAGCATTCAGCAAGGGTCATTGAGGCCGTGCAAAAGTAAGCCAGAAGCCCAGAGAAGGTTAGGAAGTGAAGAGGTGGCTGATGGGACTTTCACATTCCCAAATTACATTGTGCATTCCCACAGTGCTTTGCGATTGAAGGTGACACCAAGCACTATGGGATTCTTACCCATATTGATTTGCTCAGTCCAAAGGGGTGCTTTCATGGCCATGTTGATAAGTTGACAATGGGTGGTAGAAAGACAGGTTTGACCGGTTTTAAGTTTTGGCAATTTTGTTATGTCAACAAACGCTTTCACTGACAAATCTTCCCAGTCCTGAGAATTTCAGAATCACTTTATGGCAGACTATGAAATGCAGGTAAATCAGAAACCAGAAAAACATAATATTTACAAGTAGATAACTAGAGCACTAAACACAGGTACTACAGCTAAGAGCCAAAAATATTTAAATAATGAATTAATTTGAGATTTAAACACCTGAAATTACAATCTACTCCAAGTGTAATCTAGGTGAAATGTACAAACTTCAAATGGCTAAAAGGTTTAGTCACCAAAATGTTTATCTGTTGTGTCTCAGGTAAGTGGACCATGAGATACTGTATCTTTTTGGGTGCATTATCTGAAAGCTATTAGGAAAAATTCTTAACAGAGGTGATCAGATACACTATTGTATGCCAGAATGTTCTTTAAAAAAAAAAAAGTTTTCCGCTGTGACTCCCTTTGAAAGTATTTCAGGCTGTGATGAGCCCTCACTTCATATCTGGATTATGCCACCCATGCTTTTGCACTGCTGCATGAGCTCAGCCTACAGTCACTGCTCTCCAGCCACCCAGCTCCAGTGGCAGCACAGAAATAGTATTTCCCCTCTTATGACTCCCACCCTCCACAACAGGCATGGAACTACCTTTTGGTTCAAGACCCCTAGCTTGACAAATGCTACTAAAAGGAACTAGCGGGCTGCCTCCTGCTCCCTACGCTCGCCAACCCCCCTCTCTCTGGTG